CAATACCCACAGCAGACACAAGCAAGAACGGCAGGAATACCCAACGTAAACAACCTGTGCCGACGATGCAAACAACCAGGGCATATGGCGCATCGGTGTAACAACCCGGCGAGACTGTTCTGCTGGATATGTGGAAGGGACAACACAAGAACAATCGACTGCTGCAGAAGATACGAGGGAAACGAAAGAGGCGCTGGGAGACAGGTGGGACACCCAGTGCCAACCCAGACATACCACCAGAGACGATGATCAGGTTTGACGGCCGGAAGATCATCGCCCAAGTCAAGGTGGCAGGCGTGCAGGTCGAAGGAATAGTCGACACAGGCGCAACGAGAAGTTTCATAAGCGAAAAACTAGCGGACAAACTCCGACAGTATGGCGAAGTCCAACCAACAGACGAGGTAATAAATCTAGCGGATGGAACTACAACGACGGCCACAGAAGAACTACGTCTAAAGATCGAACTAGGGGAAAGCAAAGCAGAAATAACGCTACTAATTCTGGACGACGTTATCGGAGGTATACTACTAGGGGTAGACTTCTTGGCACAGTGTGATACGACACTGCGGTGCGGAGGATTAACCACTCAGCTCAAGCCACAGACTGGAAAACGGCAGAAACACCAGAAAGTAGGAATAGCGGCAGCAGAACCGACAGAGACAGAAGTCGAGGAATTCCTAAAAAGGCAGCTTAAGCTGATGGGTGAAATCCACGGGACAAGTCACATTGCAAATCACAAGATATACATGAAACACGACAGACCACTTAAGCAAAGGTACTATCCGAAAAACCCGGCAATGCAGAAGATAATTCACGACCTAGTTGAGGAACTCCTACAACAAGACCTGATCGAACCCTCGCACTCAGCCTATAGCTCACCAGTAGTGCTCGTTAAAAAAAAGAACAACCAGTGGAGGCTATGTATTGACTACCGGCAGTTGAACACGCACTCGGAACGAGATGCATACCCGGTACCACGGATGGACCGCATCCTTAACCAACTGAGAGAAGCAAAGTACATCAGCACACTGGACTTAAAGAACGGCTAGTGGCAAATACCCATGGAAGAGAACAGCAAACAGTACACGGCATTTACAGTACCTGGACGAGGATTATTCCAATGGAAGGTCATGCCATTCGGTCTGCACACCGCACCAGCAACGTTCCAAAGGGCACTGGATTCAGTGATAGGCCCGGAGATGGAACCATTCGCGTTCGCCTACCTCGACGACATTGTAGTAATCGGCAGAACAAAGAGAGAACACCTGGAGAAGCTCCATGAGGTACTGGCAAGGCTACGGAAAGCGAACTTACGAATCAACCCGGAAAAATGCCAGTTCTTCCAGGACAAGTTGAAGTACCTAGGACACGTAGTAAGCGCGAGGGGGATACACATAGACCCCGACAAAATAGCCGCAATCAAGGATCTGCCCGAGCCGACAACGACAAAGCAAGTCCACAGCTTCCTGGGAGTCGCCTCATGGTACAGAAGATTCGTGCCCAGATTCACAGAAATCGCAAAGCCGTTGTTTGAGTTGATAAAGAAGAACGCGAAGTTCGAGTGGACAGAAGAACACGGGAGAGCAACAGAAGAACTTAAAAAGGCACTGACAGAAGCACCCGTACTCGCATGCCCAGATTTCACAAAGACATTCATACTGCAAACAGATGCAAGCAACTGCGGCTTAGGGGCAGTACTCACACAAGAAGACGACGACGGAGAACACGTCATCTCATATGCGAGCCGCAAACTGAGGAAAGAAGAAATGAACTACTCAGCAACAGAAAAAGAATGCCTCGCGATACACTGGGGTATACACAAGATGAGGATGTACCTGGAAGGATACCACTTCGTGGTAATAACGGATCACCTGGCATTAAAGTGGCTGAACTCCATAGAGAGTCCGTCAGGACGGGGGGCGAGATGGGCACTGGCATTACAACCATACTCGTTCGAGGTACGATATCGGAAGGGTAAACTCAATGTAGTAGCCGATACACTGTCAAGACAACCTACCGAAGAGGCCCAAAGTGCCGAGATAGCGGAGGACAAATGGATTAGAGAAAAACTAATAGACATTGAGAAGAATCCAAGTCGGTGGCCAGACTACTGTGTCGAAAACAACAGGTTATATAGGCACCTACCGTCATGGGCAGCAGACGAAGACATACAACCTTGGAAACTCTGCGTGGGCAAACACCAACGAGCGAGAGTATTGGAAGAAAACCACAAAACAGCAACGGCAGGACACCTGGGAGTAAGGAGGACCAAGCACAGGATTGCTACGCGATACTACTGGCCAGGAATGCATCGGGAAGTCAAGAATTATATCGACCGATGCACGACATGTCAACAGTACAAGGTGTCACAACAGCAGGCGTCCGGAAGAATGCTCACACGGATAGCGGAGGCACCGGGCGAAACACTATGCGTCGATTTCGTGGGCCCATTACCTAGATCAAGTCACGGCAACAATATGCTACTAGTATTCATTGACAAGTTCTCAAAATGGGTAGAGCTGACAGCAATACGGAAAGCGACCACAGACGCAGTCCTCAAAACGTTCCGAGAGAAAATACTGGCACGCACCGGGGCTCCAAAGGTGTTAATCTCAGATAACGGAGTGCAGTTCACAAGCCACAAATTCAGAATGCAGATGTCAAAGTGGGGAGTACACCAGCAATTCACAGCTCCATATACACCGCAAGAAAACCCGACAGAACGTGCGAACCGAACAATAAAAACCATGATCGCACAGTTCGCGGGAGAAAGGCACGACCGATGGGACGATGTACTACCGGAGCTGACACTAGCATTTAACAGCAGCCGGTCGGAGTCAACTGGATACAGCCCGGCATACCTCACATACGGGAGAGAACCGAGGCTGGCGGGAAGTCTGTTCGATGAAGCGACAAAAGGCTCAGCGATAAACGAGGAGACCATGGAAGAAAGAATAGCACGAATCAAGGAAACATGTGAGCTAGCAAGAAAGAACATGGAAAGAGCAGCGCAGGACCAAGCCAGAACATATAACCTGAGGAAACGCGAATGGAAGCCGAAAAAGGGGGACATGGTGTGGGTTCGACAACACCCACTGTCAAAAGCTTACGACAAGTTTTCAGCCAAGCTCGCACCGAAGTTTGAGGGTCCATTCAGGGTCATAAAACTAGAGTCACCAGTAATAGCGGTAGTAAAAGAGGTAGGGTCGGGCAAGACACAAAGAGCATATGTAAATAACATGAAGAAATACTTAGGAGAACAGGGAATAGCACTCGACAACACCGAACCTAATAACACAAATACACTCACACAGGAACACTAGCACAATGGTCAAATTCAATAACGGGTCAACCCAGCTAGATTGGCAGGAGAAGTCATCAGAACCACCTCGAAAATTTAAACTGGCAAAGGAGGGGGAGTGCGACGACCCACGTCGCAACAACAAATATAATCCATAAGTAGAATTAAGCTTTCAAATAAGATTAAGAATAGTAGTGGCAACGCCGGCCAAGGAATAGCGCGTCCAGCCCTGAACAGCTGACGATAATCGAATGGATACGATCGATCTGGCAACGCCCTGCCTATCGGATATCGGGGAATTATCGATTATCGATCGGGGGAGAACAGCTGTCGACCGGCTATATAAAGCGACGCACCGGCCAGTGCAACTTCACTTTTGCAGAGCAGCCGAGCAGTCAACTGGTGAGTTAACAAGTAGTACTAATCCTAGCTTTAGCAGTAGAATAAGGTTTGGCCCTGGCGGCGGACCTTAATAGAAAAGAAGGTAGGAAAGGTGAAGGTAGCGTTAGGTCTAGATCTGGCCCCCTGCAGGCGGATCTAACGAAGTAGCTGGGAGGAGCGGAGTTTGGCCCTAGTTGGCGGACTTCGCACAGATAGTCAGCCGTGGGACGAGGTCGGGCCCTTGCATGGCAGATCTCGCGGAAACAGGGTATCGAGCGCGGTCCGTATGACCTCGCCGTACAGGTAGTATAGACTTGGGGTTCTGACCTGGCCCTTGGATGGCAGATCAGGAATAGGGGAGGGCGTCGAATGAGGTTCGCCACATTCGCCAAGCAAGCATAGGAGGGGAGAAGATCTGGCCCTTGCCGGCGGATCTTGATAGCTACAGGGTAGCAGAAAGGCGTTAGGGACGGTGCGAGCTTAGGCACAACGATCGCTCACCTCGAGTGACGTCACCCGGACCCACCTACCGTGACCACGACAGCGGCCAGCCGCAACGGTCACGCACCCTAGTCGCGTCGCCCGAACAGGGTATTTACAAGCCGACTACGATACAGTTGCATCGCCCGAACAGGGTATTTACACGCCGACTACGATACAGTCGCATCGCCCGAACAGGGTATTTACAAGCCGACTACGATACAGTCGCATCGCCCGAACAGGGTATTCACAAGCCGACCACGAGACAGTCGCGTCGCCCGAACAGGGTATTTACAAGCCGACTACGATACAGTCGCATCGCCCGAACAGGGTATTTACAAGCCGACTACGATACAGTCGCATCGCCCGAACAGGGTATTCACAAGCCGACCACGAGACAGTCGCATCACCCGAACAGGGTACTCACAAGCCGATCACCGACGATCGCATCACCGATACAGGGTATCGCCACGCCGACGATCAGCAGTCGCATCGCCCGAGCAGGGTAACCACAAGTCGACCCACTGGACCCTAGTCGCAGCGTCGCATCACCCACCACCGGGTATCATCGTCAGCCAGCCGGCTGAGCACCATCGAAGACCGGGACACGGATCTACCCGCAACCAGGGTATCAAAAAGACATCCCCACAGCAGCAACCACACTGTATTCTTTCCACAGGTTTCACTATATATCTTGATCAATAAAGCTTGTATTAAAATTACCTCTCTCCTCTTGCCTATTTACTGATTATTGGGACACGAGGGACTCGGACACTACAAATTTTCTGTACGAACCCCGACTCCGGCGAGCTAGGCCGAGCACCCCAAAAGAGGGTCGTTACAACGGACTGTCCGCCCAGGGCGCTCTCCGACGTCGTGCTCGGCGGCGTGGCGTCGCTGGTGGTGGATTGTCGGCTGGTCGTGGTTTGTCGGCCGCTGGTGTGTTGTCGGCTGGTGACTGGGCCATCTGCGGGATGCCGAGCTCCTCGCTCAGATCCTCCGCCCTCCGGCGCGCCTCCTGTGCGGCCAGCTCCGCAATTGTGGGCAGGCGTGGTCGAGGGTCGCGGCTGGGGGTCACCGCGGCGCATCGGGTGGTGTGAGGACCGGCGTAAAGACCCGGGCCAAATATCTCCTCGTACGAGGGCGAAGGAGGTCGGCTGCGACTGGTAGTGGCTGGAGCCCAGCTTTGTAGCGGCGAAGGTCCAGCGTGCGTGGTGCTGGGTGGAGTCCAGCATGGGGGCGGCGATCGCGGGGCGTTGGACCAGCCACTGTCCTGGCTAGTCTCGTCCTCGTCGGCCGAGATTGTCGATGCCGACCCGTCATCGGCGGGTCCGGTGGATGATGGTCGCGAGGCGTCTGACGGGCTGCCATCCCGGCTGGCCTCGTCCTCGTCGGCCGAGATGGTTGACGCTGTGTTGTTGCCGGTGTCCCCCCAATCGAAGAGGCCCTCCGGTATTTCCCCGAAGCACTCGATCAGGGCGGCTTCCACTTCGCCCATGTATGACGGAGTCCGGCGGGTGCTGGGGTGAGGCGGTGTGGTGCGTCTCCTCCGGATGTCGCGACTGTCCTCCGCGGTGGGGTCGTACAGGACGGTCGCGTCGCTATCGTCGTCACCATCGGCGGTTGGGTCGTAGCGCCGAGGTGTGCGGTTGTCACGGCTCTCGTCGTCGGAGACGGGGTCGTACCTTGCGCCTAGAGGGCCGAGAGCGCCTGTTGCCGGCGGCTCCGCGTGCGGTGGGCTGTTGAAGAGGTCGCCCAGTGTGTCCTCTACCAGGCGGTCGAAGTTGACCCAATCGTCCGACAGGGAGACGGCCTGGTTCCAGGCGTCTTCGGCGTCGACGGCGGGTGTGGGGTCTCCGGATGGAGCTTCGCGTCGTTGGGGCGGCGTGAGGTTGACCCGCAGGGGTCCGAAGCGGTGGTCTGGTGGCACCTCCTCCTCGTCATTGCCGTTAGGAAAGGCAACTTCCGGAGAGGGTGGCTGCGGCCCTATGTGGCCGGCGCGCAGGGGTGCCTGAAGCGGCATGCCCCTTAAGGGTGCTGGGTGGGGTCCAGCGTCGTCGTGCTGGTGGGCCTCCTCCTCGTCATCGTCGCGGGGGACGACTTCCAGAGGGGCCCGTCGGGGCCCAATGAGGCCGGCGAGCAGGGGTACCAGGGGTGGCACTCCCCTCGAAGATGATGGCCGTGCGGCGTGGTCATCCGTGTTCACCCCCTCCTCGTCATCGCCACGGTGGTGGGCGACTTCCAGAGAGAGTGCTCGTGGCCCGCTGGGGCTGGTGTGCAGAGGCGCCAATGGTGGCATCCTCTCGGTAGAGGGCCGACGGGGCCCGGCGTGGTTGCCGAAGTTCGCCTCCTCTATGTTGTCGGCGTCGATGGTGACGTCGACGGGTAGAGCCCGTGGTCGAAAGGGGCCGGCGAGAATGCCGCCGGGACGCGGCTGGCTTGGTCCGGCGCCCTGGAGCGCCTGTAGGAGCTCGTCAACCGCGCAGTACATCCACGTGGTGTCCTGTTGCGCCGGGGCGGGAGTCGGCGGATGGTCCTGTCCGTCCATACTTTTGGCTGGCGTCGGTGTTGGCGTAAACCTAGGGAGCGTGTGGCTCGTCGTGCCTTGTGGCGGGCTGAAGGTGGTTGCTGTAAGGACAGATGAGATGTGTATTAGTGTGTTGCCCTGGGCCCTACCTAATGGAGTGGGCTAGGGTTGGATACGGCTACGGCTTTTGGAAAGAGGCGCATGTTCACCCCCCTTAGGGGTTCGGGACGTTGGACAGGCGCGCCTGTCAACAAGTGGCCCCTGTGAAACATAGTCATCTCCCCTACATGGGTGTTCGTCGCTAGTGTTGGCGGCGCGGGATGGGTCCCTTGTGCCGTGCGGTCTTGGCTGCTGGCTGTGTGCCCAGAGTGGTGTCGTCAGCGTCTTCGATCGTGGTGTCTTCGGCGTCGGTGTCTTCCCGGTGGGTTCCGGCTTCGGTGTCTGCCTCATCCTCGTGGTGGTACGGCTTCAGCTGGTTCAGACTGGCGGTCCGCCGGCGTCGGCTTCCTGGCATGTGCAGTTGCACGATGTTCGGCGATGGGAACTTTGCTACCCGGAAGGGTCCTTCGTATTTCGCAGCTAGCTTTGCGGCAAAGCCCTCGGCTGCGTTGGATAAGGCGTGTCGGCGTACCAGTACCATGGATCCAACTGGTGGTCTCCATGTCCTCCGGCGCAGGTTGTAGTGCCGGCTCTGCTCGGCGGCGGCGCGATCAGCGTTGTTTCGGACGACGTCGAAGATGTTCCGGAGTTGCTCGCTTCGCTCGGTCGGGGTAATCTCAGGGGTGCCTCGTCCGGGGGTAACTTCGTCGTACAGCGTCTTCGGGAGTCGCGGTTCTCGGCCTTGTACCAAGAATGCAGGGCTGAATCCGGTAGTGTCCGAGACACTACTATTGATGGCTAGTGATATTTCCGGCAGGAGTTGATCCCATTCGTTCTGCTGGCCTCCATCCAAATATTGGGCGATCATCGTCTTGATCGTTCGATTTGCCCTTGCCGTGGGATTCTGCCTCGGAGTGTAGGGCGCCGTGTGCTGCAGCTCCATCCCTAGCGACTGGCAGAACTTCTGGAATGAGCGGCCGGTGAACTGCGTACCGTTGTCGCAGACAAATGTTCGGGGAACACCGAATCGGCTCAATATCCGCTCTCTGAAGGCTCGTTCCAGATGTGTGGCGGTGGCTTTGCGAAGCGGCACTAGCTCCACCCACCTGGGCCGACGAAATCTGCGCAAAGGATGTGGAACGGCTCCTCGACCTGTCGAGTAAACATTTGACCTGCAGGTTTTTCTTGGCTCAGCTTATATCGCTGACAAGTGGGACAACGGCGAACGTACCGAGCCACCTCGCGGAACAATCCAGGCCAGTAATAGCGCTGGGCCACGCGAGTGCTGGTTTTCCGGACTCCTAGATGACCGGCAGTGGGGTAATCGTGGCACTCTTCGAGTACTCGCTGGCGATAGTCTGACCCTACGCACAGCTTCCAGGGCGTGTACACCTCCTCCTCCGGCCGGAGTCCAAGGCGGCGATATAGCTGGCCATTCTCCTCTCGGTAATCCGGAAACTTCGCTGGTTCGGTCCGAATCCTCTGGAGCATCCTCGTGATCCACTTACAGTTGACTCCTTGTACCTCCGCTTGCTGCACTATGGGCAGCGGTTGGCGAGAAAGGGCATCGGCCACTAAGTTCTGGGCCCCCTTCCGGTAATGGACATCATACTGATATTGTTGCAACTCCAATGCCCAACGGGCAATCCTGCCTGTTGGATTATCGATGGAGTTCAGCCACTTCAAGGAGTGGTGATCTGTGAGGACTTCGAAACGGTATCCCTCGATGTAACACCGCCTCTTCCGAATCGCCCAGACGATGGCGAGGCACTCCTTCTCAGTCACTGAGTAGTTCCTCTCCGCTGTGTTGAGCCGGCGGCTGGCGTACGCTATCACCCTCTCGTTTCCATCGATGGTCTGCGTGAGTACGGCTCCGATTCCGTAATCACTGGCGTCAGTTTGTAGCACAAACTTCTCTGCAAAATCTGGGCAAGCTAGAATAGGGGCTTCGGTCAGCAGCGTCTTCAGCTCCTGGAAGGCCTGGTCTTGTCTTTGGGTCCACTCCCACTTGTGGCCCTTCTTCAGCAGCGATGTCATGGGTGCCACAACATCGGCGAAGTTCGGCACGAAGCGGCGATACCAGGAAGCGATTCCCAGGCATCTGCGTAACTCCTTCAGGTTCGTCGGCGGCGCGAGTCCACGGATCGCAGCGACCTTATCCGGATCCGTGTGGATTCCCGCTTCGCTGATCACGTGACCCAAGTACACGATGCGGCGCTGGAAGAAGTGGCACTTCGCTCTGTTGAGGCGCAGGTTTGCGCAGCGGAGGCGTCTGAAGACTTCTCCCAGGTTGGAGACATGTTCCTCCAGTGTGGAACCGATGACAATGATGTCATCCAGATATGCAAACGCATGGGGTTCCATATCCGGACCGATGACCGTGTCTAAGGCGCGTTGAAACGTGGCGGGAGCGGAGTGAAGTCCGAAAGGCATGACTCTCCAATGGAACAAACCTCTTCCGGAAACGGTAAACGCCGTGCACTCCCGGCTGTCCGGGGCCACTGGGATTTGCCAATACCCATTTTTGAGGTCCAACGTCGAGATGAATTTCGCGTTCCGGAGTCGCTCCAAGATTTGATGGATCCTCGGAAGCGGATACGCGTCCGGCACGGAGTTCTCATTGAGCTGGCGGTAGTCCATGCACATGCGGACTTCGCCATTCTTCTTGGCCGCGATTACAATGGGTGCGCTATGCGGGCTTTTGGAAGGTTCAATGCGTCCGTCTCGGAGGAGTTCATTGATCTGCTTGTCAATGACGGCCCTCATGGCTGGATTCCTTGGAAAGTATCGCTGTTTAAGGGGTCGGTCGGTGCGCATGAAGATGCGATGCTCTGCGATGTATGATACCCCTGAGAGAGTATCAAATTTGGCCAGTTCCTGGTCCAGGAACTCCTTCACCCAAGGCTCGGGGAAGTCCTGCGTCTCGGGTTCCTCTGTCTGGAAAGAGACCTGATCCTCTGTGGGATGACTCACCGAATTGACGGTTCCGCATAGGGGCGGGCTCGGGTCCGGCGTTTCCTCGACGTGGTCCTGGAAGCGGACACGTTTTGTGGAGGTACGGAAGGGATTCCGTTGCGCGGCTGTGGCATCTGCCACGGGCAAAGCCTGTCTCCAACAGGGCGGCTGGTTCTCCGTCGCTGGTGATGTTCTGCCTCGAAACGGTGCTCGAGGTGAGGTACTTGGCTGGTCGTCGAGTTCGGAGCATGGCTCCCTTGGCTGCCCTCGATGGGTAGAGCGTGGCTCTCCTTGGGCTGTCGTCTGTGGCTTCTCGGCAGGGGTGGAGTGTGACTCCGGTGCCGTGCTTCGCTGATCAGAGTGTGACTCTGAGTGGTGTGCCGTTGGTGGCTCTTCGGATGTGGAGCGTGGCTCCGTCGGTGTGCTTCGTTGCTCAGAGCGTGGCTCTGAGTGGTGTGCCGTGGATGGCTCTTCGTGGTTGGAGTGTGACTCCCTTCGCTGGTCAGAGCGTGGCTCTGCGGGCTGGTCCCGTGGGTTGGAGCGTGGCTCCCTTCGCTGGTCAGAGCGTGGCTCTGTCGTTGGTCTCCGCTGGTCAGAGCGTGGCTCTGTTGTTGTTCTTCGCTGGTCAGAGCGAGGCTCTGTTGTCCTGGCCGGGGCGTTCTGTGTTCCCGCAGCCCAGGATGGCTTGCTGTGGTCGTTCGGTTGGAGGCGGAGGGTCTGCCCGCCGCATAGTAGGGTTGCTCCGATTCCACAGAGGAAATCCATTCCTAGGAGTATGTCGTCCAGTGCGTCCGACATCACGAGGAGAATGGTGGGCGTCCGTTCACTCCCAAGGTAGATATTTGCCGCCAGAGCTCTGGTCAGCTCGCGGCATGTTCCGTCGGCGAGTTTTACCTGGGTACGGATGTCCCGTGTGTTCCTTCCGTTGTCCAGCATTTGAGCCAGCCCTTCGCTAATGAAGCTATGGGTGGCTCCGGTGTCCAGGGTAGCTGTGAACCGCTGCCCCTCCATGTGGATGGTAGCGCGGATGCGTCCCTGGTACTGATGGAGAGTGTCTCCTATTGGCTTCGGGGATACGGAGGGTTCCTCGGGTGATTCCCGGTCACACGAGGCCCTTGACCGTTTCCCGATGGTGGCTGTCGGCAACAGTCAACCGTCCTGCGTCCTCGTTGGCCGCAATCCCAACAGAATAGGATCCGTGGGTTCCTGCATTCGGCTTCGAAGTGCCCGGATTGGCCACAGTTCCGGCAAGCGTTGCGAACGTTGACGGCTTCTGGTCGTGGTGCCACTGCGCTCTGGCTGGTGCAGGCGTTCCGGCTAAGGGAACCGTTGAGGGCGTTGCCTGAAGAGGGCGCTTGTTGGGGTCGTCGAGTGGACATCCTGTCTCCGTCGGCTGCGTAGCTGGCTCCTGTGGCCTGGCGTTGAGTCGGGATCCGGTTCTCGAGCGCTCTTCCGCCTCGGCTGCGTGTCTCCTCGTAGTTGGTCACGAGGTGCGTTAGCTCGGTCAGCGTACGGAAATCCTGCCTCCGGGTGTAGAGTTGATACTCCGGCAGCATGTTTTCGTAGATCCTCTCCAGCTCCTTGTCCGAGGAGAATCCGGCCCGGCGCATCTGCAAACGGATGTCGATAAGGTATTCCTTAAATGGCTCGTTGGGCTTCTGAAAGTGCATCCTTATCTCATCCTCCAACCGCTGATAGTATCGCGGTGGCAAGAAGAAGTCAAGGAACTCTCGGCGGACCTCGGTCCAGCTGGCTTGTTGGAGTCCGCTCGTGCGGAACCAACTTTCGGCTCGGCCGGCCAGCAGCACCACCAGGGCTTGAGCCAGATATCTCCGGTCGATCCGGCAGGTATCGGCACGCTCCTCGATGTGCTCTATGAATCCAAGAGGATCCGTCGTTCCATCGAACGAAAGGCCCCACTTGGTCATCCGATCGATTAGGATTGCTCCCAAGCCGGCTTCACTAGG